AGACCGCCATTTCCCATTTCTAGTGTTTGTCGGCGGAGTTTGGGGCGGGGGGGGGGGAGGCAGGACTTCGCTGCTGATTTCGTAGAAATATCGATCGGAGTGTAGAGAAACATGCGATGCTGGACGAAGTTAGGGAAGGGGCATTGTGCAATCCATTCCTCACTCATACACTCAACTATTGGTTGAAAACAGCAGAACTTGTCAAGGCGCCAAATACGACCCAGTCAAACTTGCTGTCGCCTACTCGCATGCACGATCGCAAACTCTGAACACCGAATGCTGCCTATTGGAGCGTTCATAGTTGGCGATCGTACGTGCGATTAGGCGATTAGGCGAGTAGGCGATTAGGCGAGTAGGCGATTAGGCGATTAGGCGATCGCTCAATGGGCGGAGCAACAAATCAATACGTATCCTTCTTCATCGCCTACTCGCCTAATCGCCTACTCGCCTACTCGCCTGCTCGCCTGATCGCCTAATCGCATGTACGATCGCCAACTATGAACGCTCCATATCTCGTGTGTACGTGAGGTGGTGAAGAAACAAGCAAAATGGTAGATCAACAAATGAGGTAATGATAATAGACAGCGAGAAACAGTAGATAAGGTGATGCATATAAAAGAAGCAGATAGGGGGTTGCATTTCATTTTGCAGGTGTTATCCACGGATGATGCGACCTGTCCTTCTGGTGCTCCTAATCGCAACGTTCATCTGTTGTGTGGATGGTGTGTTGCTATGCAGCAGAAGTTCCCCCTACAGGCAAAGATTTTCTGCATTACAGTTGATATCAAAAAGTTGTCTGCGATCCTGAGTGGGATGAGTGACGAAGAAAGTTCGAAGTTCGATGAGGTCATGAAGCAAAGTAGCTCTAGACAACTTAAGGGCAAAAAAGGCCAGGTATGTATGTGCAGTTGCTATATGGTGAAACACAGGAACGCCGCCACTGTAACACAATAAATTGCAATGCTACTTGAGCGGGCACGCCTTTTCTGTATACGGTAGGCGCGAAATGTACGTGGGGACTAGCGCGCATGACGTCACAAAAGTCGACAGACTAGGCCTAGGGGAGAGGAATTCTCTCCCTCCCGCTGATGGAGTGTTCAGAGTTGGCGATCGTACGTGAGATCAGGCGATTAGGCGAATAGGCGAATAGGCGATTAGCGAGTAGGCGATTAGGCGGGGAAGACTACATACGTATTGATTGGTTTGCTCCGCCCATAGAGCGTTGTAGGCGAGTAGGCGTAGGCGATTAGGCGATCGCTCAATGGGCGGAGCAACAAATCAATACGTATCCTTCTCTTATCGCCTACTCGCCTACTCGCCTAATCGCCTAATCGATACGTATACTTTTCTTTTTGATCATCGCCTAATCGTCTACTCGCCTACTCGCCTTATTGATAATAAAGGATAAAGTTGATCAATCCCTTTTTGGGATGCGGCACGCATTCTACTTCCATTTGTACATTCGTAGTGGCGTTTGAATGCGATGTGGCCTATACAATGACTTGCGGGGGCCAGCCGATGTACAAGTCAGTGTTTTTTATCCTCCCAGACAAGTCTGGTACCAATTAACCGACCCCGGAGGGATGGAAGGCTTGGTTGGCCCGGGCGACTCACGACCCAGGATTTGATCCCCGGACCGCTCGCGTGGTAAGCGTGCCACTTGCCACTACACCACTTCCGCCCTCGCCTTATCGATACGTATACTTTTCTTTTTGATTCATCGCCCAATCGCCTAATCGCCTAATCGCACGTACGATCGCTAACTATGAACGCTCCGTGAGGCTCAGCCCATCGACCTACCATAGAGTATGTTACTATAAAATGATCCAGCAAGCTACCCTCGAAGGTAGAAAACGCAACAAAGGGATAAGATCATCGATCCCCGGAGCGCGCGCGTTATAACAGTGGGCACCAATCTCCACGTACATTTCCTACCTACCTTATTCGAAATCGGGGTGTCCACCTGTCTAATATCGCATCCAGAATAACTTTCAAGTTCCCAGCGGATCGAAGCATTCCAACCAAAAAACTTCACCAGTGAATCTTGATATATCGTGATGGCTTTTCAGGCTGAATACGAGAACGTTTTGAAAGAAAAGAATTTGTACGAGAAGGTGATAAAGTTCAATGAAACAATGAAAACAATGGCTAAAGAAAACAGAAGAGCTCTAGGATTTGTGGCAGCGGTAACCCTATTGCATGTGTTACGATATTCTGATGCGGGAAACGTGACAAGATCAAGGCACTGGCGTACTTAGGGAGGGGCATCATTATGCAGAGAGCTTCGGACCCGAAACCCCATTAGTCCACCTAAAACTAGGCCTTAGCCGCACTGAGAAGGGGTTCAGAAGCAATCTGTACTTTCCCAAAGTTCATCCTCTTCTCCCAGCAGTTTGCAGAGCGATGCCCCTCTCCCTAAGCACACTAGCGCCAGATTTATCACATCATTTAAGGCTCTTCAATATTCTTCCCTAACCAGACACGGCAGTATCAAAGAAGCCGAAGCATCGACAATGTAATTCTTTCAACACTTCTGTATCGTTCGCAGAACTCATATTGGAAGGATTTAGGATCAAAAAAGCGTGGAGCAATTTACGAAAGGGTTCAAAGGCCTATCTCCTCAAAAAGTATCCTGAACTTAAGGAAATGCCGAAGCTTACCTCAAAATGAAATAAACGTTGCTTGATTTGTACCAAATTCTTTCCCCACTAATGTGTTCGTGAAAGGAACAGCGAAAATGCAATGGGAGGAAGATGCTAAGAGCAGCCCACGTTGTTTATTAATGTACCAGCTTAAAGCAACAATCCAGGAACGAATTCGCGGGTAAGGACCACCTATAATGACGTTGCAGGTGAGAAGTTGGTCAATGGAGAAAGAAAAAGTAGAAAAAAACGTCGGGCAGGGGCTTAGACAGGGACTCCCCCTGCCGTTTAGGGAGACGTGTGTTGGACGAGTTGTCCGAACCTGCCCGTAGTACATGCGCTCCAATTGACTGCTGGCAAATAGCCATGCATGCTTGCAAATACATAACTATTTGCCAGCAATCGAAATTGAAGCGCTTCAATTGCGTTCTTATGGAATCGACCTCATACAGCGCGGCGGTCCCGCAACGACCGCTAGTCAAGCACGGACTCTGCACAGCGTATGTTGGGCGATCCGCCTCGGTATGGGTGATCCGCCCCCTCCAAGAGGACTTCGACCCCTTCCAGCGCATTTTAGAGGTAGGTTTTGAACTTAAAGACATTTCCTATAAACTTTAGTTGGGCTGGGGCATGTTTTGACCGCCTAATGACCAAGTAGTTGAAACCCTGCCTGGACTGTTGCTTTAAGCAACAAGGGGGGCCAAAAAAAGAGTCACTTTGCCTATGGCGCATATCATCAAACTTTTCGTCGCAAAGGATGCCGCTGTTATTGGGAGTTATACGGCGATACATTCCTTAGATGTCCTCCCATAAGCAGAATCAGGCCCACCTTCGCTGCGTTCACCGTCTCCAGAATATGACGTCATCTGTCATCACCGTCGAGCTCAAGGAGGCCTACAATAATCGCTCCATTCTGAAGCTGCTACATAAATTCTTCAATCGGATAACTGGTGAATGACTTCTTAGAGACACTAGCTCTGACTATGCAAAATGGCTTTTGACCAGCGTTTCAGAGACGTCGTAATCATCTATGGTTTCTCGACGACCCCGTTGAGCTCGTACCGCGAACCATGTTTCCGTGGGAAAATCTTCTGGTGTCGTCGGTTTAGAAGGCCACTATGCAATGTTTTTGATAGAATAGAATGTGCTCTTCAATATGCAATTGAGCTCATTCGGTTTGGTTTTGGCAAAGTGTAATTAATTCTGTTTTGAATGTGAGTAGGAGTGACTTTTTTTTGCCCCCCCCCTGTACTGCATTAGTATGTATTCGTAATACTGGACTACTTGCAAAATGGGCACCAGCTGAGAAAACAAACAAGAACGATTAATTAGGACGTTTCTAAACTTGCATCACCGTAACCACGTCACGTTGCACTTGGGCACACTACTGGGCACTGGAGCGCGCAATCGGACCAGGGAATGTGTACACCAATCCTTTGATCGAGACTAAGCCTGTGGCATTATAACACCTTTTCTCGCACACCGAGGCAGCCCTCCGAAATTCCTGCTGGACATCGTGGCCGTGCAATGTCGTTTGCCGCTTGCACTAGGCAACACTGCACGCATCCTTGGAGCCTTTAGCGGGGCGCGCCGTACAGTTGACGAACACATCTCCGTCATGGCTCTCGCCCTGGAGGCACAGAAACACGAATCGATAACACGGCAACCGAACAAAGCGTGCTTCTGGAGGTTCAGAGTTGATGATCGCGACGCGATTCGGGGAGTAGCGATTAGTCTAATAATGAATAACGAGTTGTACGTATAGATTGGGCGATTAGGCGAGTAGGCGAGTAGGCGATCAGGCGAGTAGGCGATTAGGCGGGGAGCATCACATACGTATTGATTGGTTTGCTCCGCCCATAGAACGTTGTAGGCGAGTAGGCGAGTCGCTCGATGGGCGGAGCATCAAATCAATACACACATGCCATATCGCCCACTCGCCTACTCGCCTAACGCACGTACGATCGCCAAGGCTGCTTTCATAGTTCGCATCGTGCGGTCGGCGCCGACCGCACCGACAGTGTGAAGAGCGTCAATACGCACTCTGGCGCATGACGCGAACGTTGGGCGCAGATCGCGTGCTCCGATCGATAATCCTGGTTTTGGTGTATTTCTTGTGCTTTTCGATGTTTTTTTTTTCGCGCCGTGTTGCTTTAATTCGTGTGTTTCCTGTTCATACTTATTCTTTTATGGGCGCAATGTGGCTTGGGGGGAAGTCGGTGCGCGGCTCAGCGATGTAGTGTAACTCGAACATTCCAGCTTTTCACGGGACATTTCAGCTTCTCACGCATGCTAAGTGACTGCCTCACCCCCACCCCCCCCTGAATTGGCTACACTCCCCTGGCTTGCGAATTTCCTGTTGCCGCAACGCCCCGCGCGGCGGCTCCCCCCCCCTCCGAGCCACATTGCGCCCTTTTATGTCTTGATTAATACTTTCCAGTTGTTCCGCGGGCGAGCGACGTCGTGAACCCGTCGCACAACTCCGGGTGGATGTGGCCATACCGGGTGTGTTGGTCGTAAGCAATTTTGTTTATTCATATGAAGTGAGTGCAAAAAACATCGAAAAATATCAAGAAATACACCAAAAGACCAAGATTATCGACCGGAGCACCCATTGCGCCCAGCGCACGCGTCATGCGCCAGAGCGCGTGTTGACGCTCTTCACACTGTCGGTGCGGTCGGCGCCGGCACGTCTGGCCGACCTCACCGCTGCGAACATATGAAAGCACCTAATTATGAAACGCTCCATACGGTGGAGCTAGGAACATCCTACAGCATCTTTCTGTGAGAAGCCAATAGATAAAATGTTTCGCCAAAGAAGCGTGCAGATGATCTCCTAAGTCATTTTTCCGACTTTTCTTTATCCATTTTTTGTTTTTTTTTTTCTTTTGTACCAGTTTAGCTCCGCCCGCTACCGCGCGCATTGATAGAACTGACAATCGATGAAGCTTTAGGTTTCACCGCTAAATTATAGCTGCTTCGTTAAATGTATTACTGTCCGTTGCATAGGCTGCCCATCTTAGCTGTTTATAAGCGCAGTGAAGTGCACGGCTAAAGTGATGATGTAAACAACCACTATGCGTCGAGTATCGAGGTAATTTAGCGGTCGAATATCTCAAAACGGAATGCCAGTATTCATTATCATATTTATTCGAGCATCCCATTCATCCTCAAGAACTCTAGAAGGTGTAGCGGTCGAAAGGTGTTTGAGTTTACAATTACAACGCTGATGAAATGATATTGAAATGAAAGGCATTATCTACAATCTGCTCTCTATTTTCTATTTCAAGTGCTCTCTACGTTCGTACGCATATCGTTACTATCAGTCTCATCAGTCGTTATCACTTTTTGACCCCACCAAATATGTTCCCGTCCCACCCCTATATCATGCCCCAAAATCAGCTCCTGACGACTGCTGCGAAGCGCACTATGAATTTCGTGAAATTGTGTTTCAGCGCCTCTTATCTGCTCTTATCAGTCGTTATCACTTGTGACCCACCAAATATGTTCCCCATATCATGTCCCAAAATCAGCTCCTGACGACTGCTGCGAAGCGCACTATGAATTTCGTGAAATTTGTGTTTCAGCGCCTCTTATCTGCTCTTATCAGTCGTTATCACTTTGTGACCCCCACCAAATATGTTCCCGTCCCACCCCTATATCATATCAAAAAATCAGCTCCTAACGACTGCTGCGACGCGTGCTAATTCGTGAACACACTCATCAACCACACCAAACAGACACACCATGCTTTATTAGGTCGGTCCATAAGTCTTGCAACAAACTGGCCGAATTTTGAATTTAATATTTTCATTATCTTTTTGTTCCATTCATCCGGCATGCTACCCTCCATCAATATCTACAACCTATTGCCAACACACTAGTAGCTGCTCGATGCCTCCCTTGTAGGACTCTACTGAATTCTGATCGAAGAAAGATCAGATGTCGATTTTGACATCATCATAGTTAGGATGAGCTTTCTTCTCTAGGAGAGTTTGGAGAGGGGAGCAGAAGGGCATTATTTGCCTCGAGGTCAGGGCTATAACGTGAATACGGAAGAACTCTCCGTCCCAGAGTCTCGAAATTTTCCTGAATTTTCTTAGCAAGAGGTTTTTCAACGGTGTCATACAAAAGCAAACTTTGCCTTGTTTTTCTTTCGTATTAAAAGCGTTGCATTCGAGCTGTGGATAGTTGACTTTCGCGTTGACTGCGACATCTACACGAGGGGTTTCCAGAGCTTAACTCCTCCCGTGTTCCACCAAAAATCCGAGAAGGCCCTACTTGGACGAGGTTGAACTTAAGCAATAAGATCTCCCGAAGCGTTTGAGCTGGACTACCGCCGCTTGTTCATTTGTTAGTAAACTGTACCCACTCCTCATCTTCGGCAAATGTGATGGATGGTCAATCGTAGAATCCCTAGTAAGTCGACTTGAACATAACGGTGTCAGATCGTGTTTGGAGCTGAATCGGGCTCAAGGCACGTGGGGACCAAACTCTACATTTTCGGATCTTCACAAGTCTTTGGAGATGCCACAGTGCTGTCTCCTTGTCGCATCGGAATCGCTCTAGCAAATGATCGATACTCTATCCAGATCCCTTTTCAACGGCGTCAGATA